TTACTATTATCATTATCATCATTATTATTATTGTCATTATTACTACATCATTATTATTATTATTATTATTACTATTATTATATCATTATTATATCAATTATGATTATCATTATTATAATGATCATGTTTATTATTATTCTATTGTATAGGATAGTCATTGTCGTCACTATCATATGGTTTTCATTATTATCATTATCAACATTATTATTATCATCAATATTTCTATAATTATCAGTAATTATTAGTTGTAGTACTAGTTTCTTTATTATTATCAGTATTATGACTACTATCATTATTATCATTACAATAATTTTATTATCATTATTATTATTATTATTAATATTATTATTATTATTATCAGTGTTATTATTATTATCGTTAATATTGTAATTGTTACTATAATTAGTTTTATCATTATTAGCATTATCAACGTTATTATTATTACTATTATTACTATTATTATTATTATCATTATTATTATTATTATTATTATTATTATTATTATTATTATTATTATTATTATTATTATTATTATTATTATTATTATTATTATTGTTATTATTGTTATTATTATTATTATCTTTATTATCATTATTATTATTATTATTATTATTATTATTATTATTGTTATTATTATTATTATTATTATTATCATCATCATTATTATTATTATTATTATTATTATTATTATTATTATTATTATTATTATTATCATCATCATCATCATTATTATTATTATTATTATTATTATTATTAATATTATTATTATTATTATTATTATCATTATTACTATTATTATCATTATTATTATTATTATTATTGATACTATTATTATTGTCATCATTATTATTATTATTATCATCACTGTTATCATCATTATTATCCTTATCATCATCATTATTATATTTAATATCATCAATATTATCATTATTATCATCATTATTACCATTATTATCATCTACCTTATCTTTATCATTATTATTACTATTATCATTACAATTCCTTTCTTTATTATTGCTATTATCATTAGTATTATTGTTATTACTATTATTATCATCATTACCATTATCATTATTATCATTATCATTAAAAACTTTTTCAACATATATATATTATATGTTGTTATTATCATCATTAGTATTATTATTATCATTGTTATCATTATTCCTGTCTTTATCATCATCATTGTCTTTTGCATTATTATCATTATCATAATTATTACTATCATTATCGCAATTATTACTCTCATTATCATTCCTAGTATATTATTATTATTATCAATATATTTTTCTTTTATTTTTCATTATCATTATCATTATTAGCATTATTATCATTATCTTATTTTTATTATTATTGTTATTATCATTAGTAGTAGTAGTAGTAGTTTGTTATTATTATTATTATTATTATTATTATCATTATTATTATTATTACTATCATTATTATTATTATTATTATTATTATTATTATTATTATTATTATTATTATTATTATTATTGTTATTATTATTATTATCATCATTATCATCATCATCATCATCATCATTATTATTATTATTATTATCAATGTTTGCTTGTAACTTTTTATGATTAGGATAAAGAATATTTGATTTTATGTCTATTTTCAGTTTTTATGTATTTTACTCTCAAACACTCATTTCTTTTATAATCCAAGGCCATGTAACTATGAATGATGATGGTGTCTAGTATTAAATTATAGTAACTATGTGATATTAAATGGAAATGATTATATAACATCACAGGACAGTGATTACCTAATATCAAATTATATGAATTGCCTCATCATTAAAAAAGCAAGGAAGAGAAAATGCTTTACATCATCTTTAATAAAAAAGGAAACGGGTTATAACTATTGCACAATCTCACATAAATTCTCACGGGAAAGATTCATGTTATATAAATTCTAAATAGAACAGCAAAAGGAAGGAACAGGAAGATATATGAATATAACGAATGTATTTTTCGTGACTTTGTTTCTTTCGGGCATGTTATTTCAATTTTAAAATATATATGTGGTAATGATCATGATAAGTAAATAAATAATTGATAAATGAGTAGATAAATAAATATTCTATGAAAATTAGGAGTCTTAGTTTATGTTGAATCGAAAGACTAATCTGTGCCTTTTCTTTTCTCCCCCCCCCACCCCTCCCAACACCCCTCACCCACCACACACACCTCCTTCCCTTCCCCCCCACGTCCCCTCCCCACTTCCAACCCACCCCCCCTCACGTCCCCTCCTTCCCTCCCCACCCCCACCCCACACCCCACACAGGCTCAGCGGAATGGCCGACGAGGGACTAAAGCTCTTTCCTTACTACCGTTACATCATCAACGAATCCGACTACCCCGACGCCTCCCTTAACTACGAGGAGATCCAGCGGTGGGCCAACGAGATATTCGACAGCACCACCGCCGGCCTGGGAGAGCCTTTACCCCCGGCCGATGCGCTCGAACACACGCCCACCAGAATACAGGAG